GCACATTAACTTTTTTAGTTTTTTGAATAGCCTATATGTTAAACGAAACCTTCAGCTACCTACATGCGAAATTCCATAATGATTGAGTCAGTAGATTTTGCGTGAAGCGATAACAAACATCGATTTCGCATTTCATTTTTATAGATATAAGGATTTAATATAAATATAGTCTCGCGGCAATACAAACACAACAAGTTTCCAAGATGGCAGCTGGTAGGACGCGTCCGTCGATACCGATTTCGATCCATATTACTTCCAGCTATTATGAATGTTCTAGAATGCCTTTTCCTTTTTGCAATCTACAAATAACCTAAAGACACTGGCATCTTGACGTGCTGTAAATGTGAAAGGATTAGCTTTTTTTTAACATGTATATTTTCTAGGTGAAATTTCAAACAATTCAGTTTTTCAGAAACATTTTTTTTTCTTGGGTGAGGACAAGAAAGGTAAAAAAAAAAAACAACTTCTCGATAGCATTTATAACAGCAAATAATTGCCAGCAGAAGGCATGATGAGATTCCATAGAGATTTAAGCCAGTCATATGTTTAGCCTTTTTTTTAAATATATAATTTTGAACCGTTATAAAGTAAATAAAGGTGAACAGTAAGCTATCCTTATAGCTGGTTGTGTATCTATATCGGAAGATGTAGCTATTCTGTTTAATTAGAAATCCAATGATCATCGAATATTAACAAAAATATCTTTGGGGATTTGAACAACTGTTTTGAAAGATTTGAACAGCTCGAGTAGATAGAAATCCTGGAGTTAGAGTAGAGGATTGGATGCAAGGACTTTAGCCACTCGGCGCAAATAGCTCCAGTAAATAATTGTAGTATTTGCTTACTGTAGGAAGTAAGAACTTTGACTTTCGGAATATGCGAGAGGTAGAATTTCCAAGAACTGATAGAGCCGAAGTAATATTTACACTGGTATATGGAAGGTAAAGCAGCTATTTAAACAAGATAAGAGACAGTCTTATGTTTTAAGTACTTTCAGTGGAAGCAGATGCCACTCCAAATATTCAGTACAATAATTTTCAAACTAGAAATCATACATGACGAGTTGAATATTTGTTTCCACAATAACGGAAAAAGGTTGCCTTGTCATGGTATATATATATGAGAATATTTCGTATCAAAAGTCATGGATATACTAATGGTGTGTATTTGAGCATTTTTATTTTTATGAAACCATCTTGCCCTTTGGAGAGGACAAACAAAATATTTTCAACGATGCTTATTCATTATATGGATTTACTGCCAGCAGAAGGCATGACAGAATATGGTAAAATTCGAGTCGAACCAATCATGCTCAAAGTTATTTCTTATAATTATCTTGATTTATAGAGGCAAGCATTAGTTATGCTCGTGAATCAGACGTGTGGTTTCTCCCCATGACAATAGTGTTTTAAGCATAGTTTTTTTTTCCGTGAAGTATCTGGGCAGTTCTAGATCCTGGAGTTAGAGTGGAAATCTAAATAGAAAGACTCAGACCACTCATCGCAGATAACTCCAGTGATTAATAAAGACAACTCTAACTAACAGGATGTTCAGAAAGCAGAACTTTAATGAATTGGTCATGTCAACGACAATATTCGCGCAGGTGTCTGGGAGTAATGATGAGAAAAGATTGCAATGGTCCGACTAATAACAGTTGAATAAATAAATTAGAAAGATCCCATATTTAGTAACTAATATCAGTTAGAGCAAATACCACTATGAAATATATAAGTTATTTTTTTCTCTGGAACCATGCATGAGTTTAGCAAGTAGCTGACGCCTTAAAGTGGCCTTCTCATTGGGATTGATCGAACTTGCTGCTGATTAGAGGAAGTGTAGCGTGTCAGGCCAGTGTATTAAGAAGGAATAGAGAAGACAGTTGAACTAATAAAATTAACGGAGATTACAAGATCAAGATTTCTCCTTGGATTCAGTTAATTTTAATTACCGCCATGAGAACGGTATTATAAGTCGGGAGAACATTGACTTGGTCACATAAGGGATGGCCTCCTAGACGTGACAAAAATCATCATGGTACTTATTGAATACCGGACGGAATTCGCGTGTAACAATTCATGTCGTCAAGGGAGATTAGGAGGAGACCAAGAAACACCCCAAAGGATCTGGGTGATGATAAGAATAACGACATAATATGAGTTCAACAATATGCACTGGTCACATATACGATTCCTTCACGTCAATTATTTATATAGACAACCACTTCATTCTTAAATGAGCAGCGAGTTTTAACCCTAATGTTAAGGTCCTTTGGAGCGACATCTCCTGTTGCATAACATAAAGACGCATGACAATAAAGACAATAGATTTACCTAGATCAACTGTTCCCAGATGAACATTTATGACCTGCAAGAAAGCCTTCATTCACCTGCATGAATATGTCTTAGACAAGCGACCTAGTTCTATGAGCTACTATTCTGTAATTTAAGAGTTGGCAATAATCTTAATATTTTTTTTTTGGAATGAGACGAATTGCATAGTCTGATTCAACCTGCGTACAAAATTATAAGATCATACCAAGTTATAGTTAGCATCTTGAATCTACAATATCTGTAAAAAAAGCTTGCATAATTTTTTGAAGGGAATATTGTTCAGCTAAGTTTTAAGACTTAACCGACTTTTGTACATATATATCTCTGTTTTACCATGATAAAGTTACTTTATCTCGTTTAGTGTGGAGACAATACTAAAGAAGATTGACTTGTCAAATTCCCAATGACAACAGTAAAGTGTTTACTGACCAGCCTAGACAGGATTTCTAAGGCCTTCGAGACAAGCTTATCTCCTGAAAAGGGGAAGGTCAGGAGAAGACAGAATAAGAGGAATTTTCCTCCTTTTAAATAGTGGGCAGGTCGTTAGCTTTGATAAGAAGTGGCAGGGGAGGGTAGATTCCCAGAAAGGACTCCTGAAATATCGAAGTAGGCTAGCGCAATATCGGGGTCGATCCCGACGAAGGGTTTTTTTTACGGGGCTTCTGAGGGAACCAAATAGGCTGGTGTTGGTCCTAGAAGTTGTAAGTTTTTCATCTGTCATCACCAATATATTCGGGTAGCTTTCCTTGGGAAGTTAGTTTGACGATTTCGTTTCCCACCAGAATTATCGGGATTAAATTCCCGATGACGGGTTTCGAGGAGACTCCAGAGGGATGAAAAAGAGGTGAAAGGTATTGGAAAGCGATGGAAAGTGACGAAAAGGAGGTGAAAGGGTGATGGAAAGCGATGAAAAGAGATGAAAAGAGGTGAAAGGTATTGGAAAGCGATGTAAAGTGATGAAAAGGAGGTGAATGGTGATGGAAGCGATGGAAAGCGATGGAAAGTGATGAACAGAGATGTAAAGAGGTGAAAGGTTATGGAAAGCGATGAAAGGAGATGAAAAGAGGTGAAAAGTGATGGAAAGCGATAGAAAGTGATGAAAAGAGGTGAAAGGTGATGGAAAGTGATGAAAGACAATAGAAAAATGATAGAAGAAGGTGTAATTAATGCTTAAAGAGAGGTAGTTACTGACTCTTCTATTGTCTTGATAAAGCAAGTTTGGCTCTTCATCTTGTAGTGTTCATAGATAATTTGTTTTGGCTTTGGTCTAGAGGCCAATATTTGTAAATTTTACGAAATATGCACTGAGAGTTTGTATAGACTGATTTGCCTGAAGTGCAGTAACTGTATGCACTAATTTATATTTATGAGTCCATACTAATTATTATGTCAGGTTATATTAAATAACGAGTATAAAATCTCCTTTTTGAGAGTTCAGAACCTTTTTTTCAGAGTTTTCAGTTTTTTTTAAAGTTACATTTTGTTTTAGGGTAAAGATATGATTTAAGATTGAAGTGAGTTCAACAGTTCTTTTGTATTATTTGTATCTGAACTCTGGTTCAACTCTAAATACAGGTGAAGACTTAGATGCTCAAGATAACTGCTGTGCTTGTAACCAATCCTCTATGGACAAACTTGAAACATGCATTGTGTAAATTAGACGCCCTATAATTCCTTGTGTTCAGAGTGTAGTCCAAGGAGAATTTCTAATGAGAGTGTGAAGGGCAGTTGTGATCTAAGCAATGATGAGTAGGGTACCAAGTGAGCTCTGTTGTTAAATCCAAGACATAAGGTTGGGTAAGAAAAGCCCTATAATTCCTGTATCAGGGGGTTTAGCTGAAGAGCAGAGAGAGGAAGACGCCAGTAACCTTGGACAGGAAGTAAGGTCGGCGAGTATTTGGGGATAACTCCTACATGGCTATGAGGTAAAATGCCTGAAGTTCAGTTCGCTCCAATTTTAAGTGATGATCCATTTATTTGTTTAGTCACCTAGCGTCAAGACAAGAAGGAGAATTTCAAACTGTTTGATGCACAATTTTGATGATAGGTTAGATTCCAGTTTATTTGATTGTTTACAATAATTTTATTGTAAGTATATATAGTTTGTAGAGAGGCATTTAATTTGAGTAAACTATGGCTTTAGTCCCCAATTTGTTTTAATTTGTTATTTTTATGATTTCACATTTTTTTGTCCCGAAAGATTTTATTATTATTAGGGTCTATTGATAATGATTATTATATTACTTTGGCATTTGTAGCAATTTTTAACTTTAGTATGTATGCAGTCTGTGAATGTGATATGTATGAATGGAATGAATAGTGATTGTTGTCAAAGTTAAAAACTCTTATATTGTGAGTCCGAAATACAATATAATAGTGTTAGGGAATTTAATAGATTCGCTTTATTTTGATTTCTTTATTTGTTAGGATCGTAAGCCTCTCAGGACATCTACAAATCTATCCAGATAGGAATATATTCGCACCTTTTTGTTAGGTCTCTTCTCAAAGAGTATAAGTTTTTTTTATTTGTTCAAGTAACTAATTTATTTTCATTATTATCAACTTGAATTCTAAGGATCTACTTATATAATTGCCTTATTCTGTCTGTGTGAAGTTCACTGTGTGAAGTTCACGGATAGATTTTGGTCAGAATGGATAAAATAAAAAAAGTGTCAAGGGATGGGAATCGAACCCACGACCTTCCGCTTACCGGGCAGATGCCATGTCCACTAGGCTACCCTGGACATATTTTTCTGTTCATAAAGTTAATATAAAGTTAATTTATTACTATGCAGTTTTCTATTTAGTCAATATACCTAAGTTCATGTTGCAAATGTAATTATCTTTATCGATTTAGTAGGTGAAATGCAAAAAAAAAATCGACATGATGAAATCTTTATGAAAATTCACATTTTTATTTTTATATTTTCAAGACACACACAGTTTGGGGCGGGACGTTTCACAAGAGAGACATCCACGGCGCCAATTTATAATTGTAACGAATAGTATTTTAAGTAAAACATTTTAAAAACACACAGTTTGGAACGGGACGTTTCACAAGAATGACATCCATGGCGCCAATTTATAATTGTAACGAATAGTATTTGAATTAAAACGTTTTTAAAATATATACGCACTCGGGTGAAACCCGGGCGTTGCCCGGGCCATTCGTCTAGTCGTAGATAAATGATCATATCTCGATTCTCAGACTGGAAGGTTGCGGGAGGTCATGATCAGGCCAGAAAGCCCACAAATCTTCTCCTCGCAAGAGGGAACGAAGAGGTACTGTTGGGGTACGTTTTTGTAATCATACCCAACAAAAGATGTATAGTGTCAACATTAATTAGATACATGGCTTCCCTCCCATGAAGACTTATAGATTCTTTTTTGCCCAGAAACCTAACCACTTGAAGACACCAGACATCCATGCTGAGAGCTGATGCCTGGTGAAGATGAAGACACCAGTGACATCCAGAGACATCCGTGCTGGAAGCTGTTGTACTATATGTATATATATGCCCCTCATTTAATATTTAGATAGAGGTGACTAAAATAAATTATTAAATTTTAGCATCGAATTTATTATCCGGAAATTTATATTAAATTATATGCTCTTAACAAGTCGAATATTTATAGTAGCTCCAGTTAAATTAGTATTTTTAAAAAAGATTTAGGAATAGAATAAAGAAAGAAATTAATTTATCATGTAAAAATATAAATCAATAATTTTAATAATACACAGACTATATATTATTTAATTTCTTAAAGAAATTAATTTGTTTTCTCAATCTCTCTACAATGTTTCCTTTTTTTTTTTCGCGGCAACACGGTAAAATGGAGGCGGGGCGGTCAAGATCACGTGCGTGGGCTTGACGAACGAAAATGCCAACCAATGAAAAACTTTAGCGTGAGCAGCGAATCAAAAGGGAAAAAGGGTCAAGGATAAAAATTTTTTTTTTCTTAAAAAGGAGTCAGGCTCGAGACGTGGAAGGGAGGAGACCAGATTTTCTCCGGCGCTTAGGAAAAAGGTAAGCCCCTTTGCCCTTATGGCTTAGTCTTTATTTTGAGTAGGAACTGACATAAATTTCGCATGGGCCCTAAAAGGGCTCTAAGGAACTTAATTATGATAGAAACCTTCATTTTGTCTCGCTAGGATAGATAGAGATTCAGGCTTTCCCCCTTATAAAAGCAATTTTGTAACTACATGTCACCTCTATCTAGATACACTATATGAATAATACATCCCGCCAGCAAAGAAATGTTCTCAAACTTTGTTTGTTTCGAATATCTAGTATATAGCTTATAAGGAAGGATTTTTCTTTGTGTTCTCTCATACATATTTCATTCTTTTATTTTATGGTACTACCCTTACATCTTATTATTATAAATTATATTGGAACATAAAACTATCGGTTCCTGTAGATTGGAGTTATGTACTGTAATTTTGCTATGATACACTTATATAACAACAACAACAAAATAACTTTATAAGGGCCTCTTGCCCTGTACAGTTTCTCTCCCGCCGTGGAATTACAAAAAAATATATATATCTATATTAATAAAATGGAAATTTCATAAGTGGGCATTACTAAAAACTTTCGTTACAAATGCATCAATTTCAACCAAATTTTCAACATTTATGTAAAACGAGATGGAGTAGGTTTTGCTTAACATCAAAATATATTTCCTAACATTAAAATATGTAACTTTGCTGTTATCGATTAAATACAAAAATAAAATTCAACAGAGTTAATTTTTATATACTAGCTAATAATCTCAATCTATTCCAGCAGAGCTTAGGTAGTCTATTGTCCTCCATTTTTTTTTGTAATCTAATGAGAAATTTCATAATTAATTTGATCGTTGTAAGAGTCAGATATTCTGCCTGTTCCCAGCCTTACAATATACCCTGGTATATATATCTTGGTAGATTCAGAAAGTTTTTGATAAACGTATTCTGTATTTGGTCTATAATATCAGTATTGTCCCAGGCCCACACACGGGGGCCGCATAGAGTAGTGTTGGATTCAAATGTAAATATTCATTAATTCATTTATTTGCCTTTTTCTTTAATTCATTTTGTTTCATGGATTTATTTATTTTCTTTTAATCTGTGATTTATTTGTTGCTTGGCACTGTTGGTTTTGTTGACATTTTTTAATCTCCTACCATTAGCATTGTTGTAATCGAATTCGTGGTAATAAAACCTATTCTATTCTTTTGCAAACTTTTATTCAATCATTCATTAACTCAAAACTAAATAAATAATCAAATCTAAATCTACAATTCGAACATCTTTCTGGTCCCTCGAGCCGGATCCACGGATAATTTGGTAAGTGAAAAATTGAATTATCTTGTGTCGGCAAAAAAAAAGTGAGAGATTGTTGGTGAATTTAAATCATGTCTAAAAAGGCGAATGCAGATATACTTATCTTAAAAATCTATATTGAAGAATTCAATACGTATGCGAGTCAGTTTGACGAAATTTGTCAACAGAAAAATATACGTAGATTAAAACTTTATCATGCAAATATTACGGAATTATTCAAAATCTTAAAGAAACATATTATCAAATAGTGAGATCGAATGCTTTGGAAACAAGTGAAACCCTATTTAAAGAATTCATAGATGTAAAGAATCGTTATGAAAATTTTGTATTTCAAATTGAGGAAATCTTGGAGGTAGAGAACGTTTCTCAACCAGTCAAATTGGAGCAAAGTGTAATATATAATGTTAAATTACCAAAATTTAATTTGCCTGTATTTTCCGGTGAGATGTCTCAGTGGTTGAGTTTTAAGGACCTATTTTTGGTTACCATAGATAAAAATACGACTCTTTCAGATATACAAAAATTGCAATATTTGCATTCTTAATTAAAAGGTGATGCAGCTCGTATAATAAAGGGTTTCCCGATCACTGAAAATAATTATAATCAAGCTTGGAAAACTTAGATAGAAAGATATGATAATAAAAGAGAGATAATATTCTCTCAATTAGATAAAATATTCAAAATCAAATTATATAAGATCTCTACCTCGAAGGCTATGTATGAGTTGTTGGATATCTGCAACGAATCTCTTATAAATTTGGAGACTATAGGTTTGGAAAGAAATGAAATGGTAGACGTTATGTTAATACATTTTTTACAGAAGAAGCTAGATACTCCAATCAGACAACAATGGGAATTGTCCTATGATAATCAAGAACTGCCCTCATATCAAAGGTTTATTTCCTTTTTGGAAAAACAAGCTCAATCTTTAATGAATACAATGAAGGACAATACCTCAAAGGAATATTTGAATAAAAGAGTAAATACATACAACATCAATGTAGGTTTCAAAAATTGTCTACTATGTAAATTGAGGCATAAATTGAATCAATGTAATGAATTCAGACAAATGTCAATTCAAAATAGAATAGGTTATGTAAAACAGAACCAACTTTGTTTTAATTGTATGTGTGGCAATCATTCTGTTGAGAATTGTAAAATCACAAATCGTTGTTTCCATTGCAATAAAAACCATCATACCTTGTTGCATGTGGTTTCAAGTCCTCCAAGACAAAGGGAATCATCTAGTGTCCAATTTACCTCTCCCAAATCAGTACAACCATCGAATGTACCTTCAACAAGCACATCCTGCTGTTTGAGTGGAGCAGATGGTTCTATACAAATACTGTTATCTACAGCTATAATTCATATACAAGATGTAAATGGGGAAGATCAAATTTGTAGAGCTCTGTTAGATAATGGAAGTCAAAGAAGCCTTATCACTGAAAAGTGCGCGGCAAAACTAGGAATACCCATCAGACGTAAGCGTATAGCAGTTGGAGGTTTGGGAGATCAACTTGTAGAATCTTCCCTAGGTGAGGTCTTGATCAAGTTTTCTTCTCACTTTGATCATCAATCGTTTGAGACTACAGCAATGGTTCTTACCAAGTTAACAAACAATATTCCTAGTTTTACGGTCAAGAAAATAAATTATTCACATATGAAGGGATTGATCCTGGCTGATCCTTCATATTTTAAATCAAGAGAAATAGATGTAATCTTGGGGTCAGATATAGTGTTCAACCTCATTCAGGAAGGAAGGAGAAATGGAAAGGAAAATGAGCCATCTGCTATCCATTCAAAATTGGGATGGCTCGTATATGGTCCGACCTCAGTGAGTGAACGGCAGTCATTCAGAAATATGGCACATTTCTCTTCAGAATTGGAATCTGAAGATTTAATAAAAAGGTTCTGGGAATTGGAATCCATTCCTTTTGAAGAAATTCCTACAAAAGAAGAAAAGGATTGTGAAAGTCATTATTTAAAAAATGTAGTCAGGGATGAATCAGGAAGGTATATTGTAAAGCTTCCATTTAAGGAATCAGCAGAAAAGTTAGGTCAATCGAAATCCATCGCAATTAGCAGATTTCTTAATCGAGAGAAAAGGTTAGAACAAAATGAAAAAATATATGTTCAATATAAACAATTTATGAATGAATATATAAGATTAGGTCATATGCAGGCAAGTTGTTCTCTGCAGACTGAACCAAAATATTACATTCCTCATCACTGTATTCTAAAGGCACAGCCAACCTAAGTTACGAGTGGTATTTGATGCATCCACCAAGACTACCACCCAAATATCATTGAATGATCTCCTTCATGTAGGTCCAAAACTTCAAAATAATATATTCAACATCCTACTCAAGTTCCGCACGAACTCTGTTGCTTTAGTGGCCGACATTGAAAAGATGTA